GCCCCTGCCCCTGCCCCAGTTCTGCAGGAAATGAGGGCTGCTGGTCTCTCTGCCTCAAGATGGTTCCACCTCGCAATCCCACTCCTCCTTATCTTTTAGGGAAAGGGAAGAATAAATGCTTTGCTCCTGAAAGGCTCTTGCGACCCTGGGAAGGGTTGCTCGGGGTGCCTGGCCTTTCCATTGAAAGTTGCATTGGGTTTCAGGATTCCTTTCCTGATCCATCACGGTCAAGCCAGGCCAGGCAGTTGGGATGTTTCTCTGTGCCCACGGGCATCTGTAGCAAAATGGCAGTTCCAGGAGGTGGAAGGCCAGAGACCAGGCACCTCCTCTCAGGAGGCCCTTTCTCTGGGTGGTCTTCCCCCGTGCCAGACCCACTTCTTTGGCTGGTCCTCCTGCCACCATCCATCTTCCCGGAGCAGCTCGTCTGGGATCTTCCCTTGGCCCTGTTGTGTGAGAGAGGCAGGGCTGTCAGCACCCGACTTGTTCGTTTCTATCAAAAGTGTGTTTTGTGTTAGACCTTGCGACAGACACAACAGCATCCTTTTTCATTTCCTTCTGCTGAGGGGGAATTGCTGCTTCACAGCCCAGTCACCCATCTTGGAAAGATTATTTCAAAGTTATTGGCTACCCCTTTTCAAGTATTAGAATTGGACTACTCTGGTGATCTTTGCAACTGGGTTCCGGGTCATTTGGAACCCCCTGCATGCGTTTCCCCAACATGAGAATTGTCCACAGCTTCCTGTTCTTTGACCGGTTTTCAGTCTGTCAGAGAATTTCACTTCTGATCCTAGAATTGCTGAATTTGCTCAGGAGGCTTTGCTGAGGGCTTCTGTGATGCCTTTACACTGTCCCACTTTTTGCTGACCTTCCTAGGGCTGAGTAGTCTATATTTCTGTGAATTTATATCTCATAAGCAATGCTACCCTAGTCCACCCTGCTTGTTGCGAAGTGTAACGGTGTAACTTAACTGTGCCCCAGGGCCTGTATGTCACCTCTCTGCTCCATCAGAAAGGGTGCTGTAGCCCTGGAAGTGGTGCAATAAAGGACATCAAAGGATCAAGAGGCTGGAGGGTCTCCTCCTCAGAGCTTAAAGGGAGAAGAAAGTTGAGGCTGGTTGGGAAGACTTCTCTTGCTGGTGAAATTCACATTTTATTCATTGAGAAGCTCCGTGTTCATTCTGATCCTGTCATTTCTGCAGAGCCTCCAGCAGTAAAGACGATGGTTAAGGCAGAGTTCCCTGGCATGGAAATTCACATCTGCCGAGTCGATGGTTTCTTCCCCAAGGAGATCAAAGTGACATGGAGAAAGGATGGAGAGGTCTGGCTGCAGGACACCTCCCATGGGTTTGTTGCCCCCAACTCAGATGGGACCTACCATTTCTGGCTCAGCATCAGGATCAATAGGAATGACAGGAATCACTTCCAGTGCCACGTGGAGCATGATGGCTTGCAGAAGCCTCTGAATGTGGTCTTGCAGATGCCTGGTGAGTGTTTGGGAAGGGTGAAAGGATGGAGGGGCAGAGGCATTTTCACCAAGAAGGAGGGGGTCTTGGTCCATGGCTACTCTTTGACCTTGCTTTAGACATTGCTGTGCTCCTCCTTGGAATATGCCTCCTCCCTTCTAGACCCTGGACCTAATGTCGGGGTCAAGGACCGAAGCAGGTGGCTGTCTTTCTGCTTCTTATTTTCAGTGGCTGTGATGCAATGACTTTTCCCTAGATGCAGATAATCCCACCTTCAAGCTATGGGATCCTTGGAGTGGGGGATGATGGGTGAGGGTTCTTCTCCTGGGATATTCCAATTTCATGAACACTTCTGAACTTCTTTGTGCACTGTGAGTTCTCCTTAATGGAATAACACAAATATTTCCTATTTATCTTCAGTTTTCCCCCTCTTTTTCCTCTTCTTTAGCACTGCACCCAGGGGACATCACAATCATTGTTCTGGCAGTCCTCACAGTTCCATTTATATTGGTAGTTACTGTATACTTGAAGTTGTACTGTGGTAAGTAAATGGGGAATGCATGTTGTGGTTGGAGGGAATTCCTTTCTGGGGGGTTCACAGAAGTTCGCAGTGCATACTTTCCCTTTGAGGGATGTTGCATGGATGTGTTAAGTAGAAACAAACCATTATTCCACCCCAAACACTCAAACCCCATTCCTTATGATGGACACCTTCATTGTCTCACAGTGGTTCTTGCTGGAAGATCAGAGGAGTGGGGTTCCACTGAAGGAATGGGACCTTTTCTTGATTTTTGGAAAGTCCTCCCCCTCTGCTAATGACAGTTGCCAGAATGGCCAGTGGCCCCTTGCCTTCCTGGGGCGGTTAGGAAAATCCCTGAGAAGCTTCTGTCCAGGAGCTCTTCCTAGCCAGACTGGATGACTTTTGCAACTGGGCACAATTTCAGCTCCAACTCTCTGACTTCTTCCTGCAGTGGTACACATACAAGTACAAACTTCCTTCTTTTATATAGTAATTTTATTAAAGATTACAATTAGAAAGAGAAAAAACTAATACAAACTAAGAAAAATATAAAAGAGTAAAAAGGAAAGATAGAAAGTGCAGAAATAATAGAAAGAAAAATAGAAAAGACAGAAAAATAAAAAAAAATGAGAAGAAATTACTTCCCCCTTCATCATAACAAGTATAAACAATTTTAGTAACTTATCAACTTCTCTGAAAATACAACAAAATATCTCTTCTTCCCACATCTACTCTCTGATCTATAAACAAATCTGTAAAGCCTTGTCATTTGGTCTTGGCCAGCAAAAGTCCAGGAAGGGTTACCATAGATAACAACGTATCAATTTGAACCTTGACCAACTTTTCATTCCTTCCCTTTACTTTTAACCATCTTAATCTTTAATCCCTTCAAATAATATCCCAGAACTTGATTTCATTTTCTCTTTACCTCTTCTCACAAGATCCTTATAAACTTTAACAGTTCTCTTTTGTACCTGCAACAAAAGGAAGTTATCCAAGTCACTTTTCTGGTTTGTTATTTGCATATCCTTTTCAATTATTAAGTCATCAGCCGGCTACATTTGCATATCCAGTATAGCATCTTTTTCCATATCATTCTTATAGCCTGTCCTTTTAAAATCCACTTTCAAATCAGCCTTAGTCTCAGTCTTTTCCAGTAAAACCTGTTCCTCTTCCATATCATCTTTTAAACACAGTCTATTTATGATGGCAGACGCTCTTAAAATTAACTTCTGGGGCCACCGTTCAAAATTACCCTTCAGTATGTCCAATGTCCAACTATTTTGCTCCTTTCTGTATCAGTAACTCAAATGTAAGTGTTCTTCTCCTTTAGTTTAATTTTTAGTTCCTTCTAATTCCCTCTGCTATCCAACCTTCAGAGTCTCATCCTATCATGTTTTTTTTCTTTAATTCAAAACATCAGCATTTTCCCATGGGAAGGATTCTTATAATTAATTTCAAAAACACTTAACATGTTTAAAACTTTCTAAAAAGAACGTTGTAATCACCCTTTGATGTTTATTCAATACACACACACACACACACACACACATACAGTGTGTGTGTGTGTGTGTGTGTGTGTGTGTATGCTTAAATTTGTATTTAAAACTTCTGGTGAGGATTCATGGCACACTAGATGTCCCTGAAGGAGTGGGAACAGCATTGTGGTGGAGATCGGTGGCCAGACAGTGAGTTTTGGCTGGCAAAGTCTCTCCGGAGAACGGAGAGATCATGAGATTGTACTCCAGACAGCTGCTCCTCATGAGTAAAGGAGTCAAGGGATTCCATCAAGCTCACAACAGCAGTGTGAGTCACCCAGCAATGTGTGAGTCGCCCAGAGTTCCCCCATTGGGGGGAGATGGGTGGGGGAGAAATTTAATAAACAAACAAACAAACAAACAAATAAAATGTAGTCTTTATGGACATGATGTTTGCCAAGCCTCATTTCTTAATCACTTTTGGAATTGCTTCTTAATTGCTTTTCAACTATTAAGAACCTTTGGAATGACAAGTTTCTAGCATTTGCAGGGAGGGTTCCCTTCAATCCTTAGAGGAAAAAGTTTTAAATACAAGTGCAAACCTCCAAAGCATCTCCAGGTAGGTGGGATGCGTTTCATCTGGTTTTGACTCTGAAAGAGAGGAGATGTCATCTGAGGAGGAAGGGTGTTAACATCTGTCTTTGCTATCTTCTGGCCAGGTACAAATGGTTGGCACCCTGGAGTTTTCTTGGGCAACGGACCCATTCAAATTGTCTGTCCAGTGCATGATGGTGGTTGAGCATTTCCAGAGGGCACTTGGGGAGTTTCCCCAAACCTGGCAGGCAGTTCATCAGAGGGTGGGTAAGGTTAGGAACTGATTCAGACACACACAGAGCTGAGAGATCAATTATAGAATCATTTATTCCGCTTTACATCAGATTACAATAAGTAAGTAGTGGGCCCCGGAGGCATCGTTTTGCAGGGTTTGCACTCCTACCTGAGCAGACAATTCCAGTTGGCAACTCAGGAGAAGCAGGGGAGGCCAGGGCCACTCCAGTATGGAAGGCCTTGGGGCTCAGTCCTTCTTATTTAATATCTGTATGAAGCTGCTGGAGGAGGTTGTCTGCTGGTTTGGGGCAAGGCTTGGCCCAGGGTGGCGTGGAAGTCTTGAACCGGAGGTTCTGGAGACTGTTAAGAGACTGGATGGAGAGAAGCAAAGACAGATTAAACCCTTGCACGATGGAGGTGACAGTTATCAGTAAATTTATTTATTTATTTATATTTCAAATTTGGTCACCGCCCATCTCACTAGGAAGTCACTCTGGGCAGTTTACTGAAAAAGAAAAAAAAAAATTAATTAAAATATAATAAAAACACAATAAAAATACAATAAAAACCACATTCGTACATTAAGAATAATAATATTTAATAATAAATAATAGTAAAAAATACCTTGGCTATCTGGAATTTTCTGTCTTGGTAGTTGCCATAGATGGGTCCGGCTCCATCGGAAGCCACACGCCCATGGCTTGGTCCTCCGGGCATCCCAGCAGGGGGTGGCTCTGCCTGGCAGAAGGGAGCTTGATCCAGCTGCAGCTGGTGCCCCCGTTGCAGCAGCTGATGCTTGTAGGCATCTGAAAGCATTTCTGCCGTTGCTCAGTGCAGCGTCCAGGAGATCTCACCAGCCCTTCTCTCAGGGCTCTTAGGAGAAAGCTGGAAAAGGATCTCCTTGTGCGTATTGCTTTCAGTCCTAACTCTCTGATTCTCTTCCTGCAGCTAAAAGAATATCCAAGAGACGATGCGGTGAGTGACCTCTTCTCCTTTGTGACTTTTCTGCACCAAAGTTAATGGGGACAGAAGCAGATCAGCACCTCTGTCTGGGCAGATGGGCAAGCGCTCAGCTGAGTTGGGGAGGGTGGCATTTCAAACTCCAGCCCACAGACAAATCACAGCCACCTTGCCTGTGCTGGTCAGGCTGGAAAATGGGGAAATCGTAAAGCGATGTACAGCTGTTTTAAATGCAGTCATTTTTGAAAACTCACAATTTATGTCATGCTTTTCCCTCAAGCTGTTTTCTCCAGGGAGGGGAGACATTAAAGTACTTCTTTTAATTAAATGTGTTGTTTATAAACATTCCTGTTATTAAGTGCTGAATGCCGACATCTGTACTGGGGTTCTCCTCTTAAGCGGGTCCTTCCTCTTCCTGCCATGGCGCTTCCTGCAGTGGCAACATTCGTGCTGCTGCCTGGATTGCTCGTGGGCTTTGTTACGTGGCCCCCCCCACAGAGCAATCAGCGGCTTTCGCTTCATTGGCTCCTTTTGACCAGTTGCAGAAACAGGGGGAAGAATGAGGGGGCATTTGCTTCTGGTGCCCACCCTGAGGCCACACGGACCTGGTGGGCTCCCGAGGAAGAGCCGGTGGACTCCGTGGCCAGAATGGAGCCCCTTAGTGCAGGGCGCCTAGGGAGGTACCAGGGGAGGGGTGCCATATGCAGGCTGCTTCTGGCTCCTGAAAGGTCACTGGTGGAAGCAGGCCTGAAGCAAAAACATGGAAGTGGTTTTTCATTATTTTATTTGGCAATCTGCTTCCAACTTTCTGGCTTAACCTCGAGCCTGTTTGTTGGTGTCCCATCCCAGAATTTGCCAGCCTGATCTTGCCTGGCTTTTTGGGATCAGCCAAGATCAACTAAGTGCTGTCATCCGGCTGGGACAGTAACACGGACGTTGCCCTTCTTGGCAAATGCCTTCTGCTTTCCAGAGTCACCTTCTGCAACTCAGGTAAAGCAGGTTGCCTCAGTTGTCCTTGTGACCCGCCCTGGCCCTAATGCAATTAAATTTTCCTGCCTGTCTGAAATACTCACCAGTAGGTTAATACATAGTGCAAAACCTCTCAGACAAAGGTGAGGAGCCCATTTCTAACACAGGGATTTGTTCAAAGAGGGGATAGTGGGAAGGGGAGCTGCTTCTGTGATGTCCCAAAAATGTGGACCTTTTCTGGAATAATTTTCATCAACTTAGATCACCCCAGTCAGAAAAAAAGAAGATTTGGATTTTCTCTTCAGTAATTTCCCCCTTTTCCTCTGCTTTATTTTAGCATCCATAGCCATCACTTTCTGCCTTCTGCTACTGAATGTTTTCCTTGCGGCTCTCCTGTACTACCTCCGCGAGTAAACAGTGGTGGCATCTACTGGGAGTCACTGGTGGGAGGGACGGTCTTTCTAGACGAATTTCTTTCTTTGGGTATTTTCTTCTAACGATTTTCCACTTCAAACTTGACCGGCCTGCTCTGCCTTGGGAATAAGAGCAATCCATGTTCCTACAATCTTTAGTCACTGCACACCCCTCCCATAAAAAGAAAGAGCATTTTGAGTTTCTCTTCAGAGGTTTTTTTTTTCTTTTTTCCAGCTTTAGAGCCCAGATGGGAGTTCATGGTATTCTGGCTTCTTTTGGCCATTGGCCTGGTGTTGGTGATTGCCAGATTCATTCAGTGGTTCAGGTGGATCAGTGAGTAAAGTCTGTGTTCATTTTATGGAATGTAGATTGGGGAGTGTGTGTTTTTCTCATGAGTTTCTTCCTGGGGGAGGGGTTCAGTACCACCCAAATCTGGCCTGGCATCCCAACAGAGTTGTGTTGACCTTTGGCCTTCTGAGGGTGATTGCCATACTGCACTCATTATGAGGAGCATTAAGTAAACAGTGGGCATTTCTGGTATGAGTTTTGGGGACTGTAATCTGTATCGTTTCTGACAAATTTCTCCCTGGAAAAGGGGGTTCCGAGAGTGCCTGATGTGGGGTCTGTGGGCTGGCCTTCTCTATCCCCTTCTTCTTCAGTACCATTCCCCAGAGTTTAGCCCAGCTCCTGGCGGCTGGCACAGAGATTCCTCTGCAGGGACGCAGGTGGGAGCAGGCTCCTTTTGACCAATCGCAGAAACAGGGGGAAGAATGAGGGGGCATTTGGCTCTGGTGCCCACCCTGAGGTCACATGGACCTTGCGGGCTCCTGAGGAAAAGCCGGTGGATTCTGTGGCCAGAATGGAGCCCCTTAGTGCAGGGCACTTAGGGAGGTATGAGGGGAGGGGCGCCATATGCAGGCTGCTTCTGGCTCCTGAAAGGCCATTGGTGGAAGCAAAAATATGGAAGTGATTTTTCATTATTTCATATGGCAATCTATTTCTAACTTCCTGGTTTAACCTAGAGCCTGTTTGTTGGTGTCCCATCCCTGAATTAGCCAGCCTGATCTTGCCTGGCTTTTTGGGATCAGCCAAGATCAACTAAGCGCTGTCATCCGGCTGGGACAGTAACATGGACGTTGCCCTTCTTGGCAAATGCCTCCTGCTTTCAGGAGTCCTGTTCTGCATCTTAAGCAGAACCCGAATAAAAAGGAAAGCTTTAATGATGGAAATTTGGGTGAGTTTGAGTTATTTTTTTTTTTTTTTTTTTGCCATTAGTCTCTCACGGAGCTTCAGGATTC